TCTGGCTGCTCTCCCTGCTGATCAGCAGCCCGCCCCTGATTGGCTGGAACGACTGGCCGGACGAGTTCACCAGCGCCACGCCCTGTGAGCTAACCTCGCAGCGCGGCTACGTCATCTACTCCTCGCTGGGCTCCTTCTTCATACCGCTGATCATCATGACCATCGTCTACATCGAGATCTTTGTGGCCACGCGGCGCCGTCTGCGTGAGCGCGCCAAGGCCAACAAGCTGAATACGATCGCATTGAAGAACACCGATCTGGAGGCCATCAATGCCAGCAACGTGGCCGTGGGTGGCAGCTCGACCAGCTCCAAGGCGCGTGCTCTGGGCAGCCTCTGCGGCAGTTGGCTGTGCTGCGGCCGCGACCGAGCCAACTTTGCCACGCCCATGATACACAACGATCAGGAGAGTCTGAGCAGCGAGACACACGTCCAGCCAGAGGGCAACAATGAGCAGCAACAGCAACAGCAGCAGCAGCAACATGTTGTGGTGTTGGTCAAGAAGTCGCGACGTGCCAAGATCAAGGACTCCATCAAGCACGGCAAGGCGCGCAGCAATCGACGCTCGCAGTCATCGTCGTCGGCCTGCGAGCCGCACGGCGAGCAACAGTTGCTGCCCCAAGGCAACAGCAATAATGCAGCAGGCAAATCGGATCCCGAAATAAGCACAGAGAGCGGCAGTGATCCCAAAGGCTGCATACAGGTGGGTTAGCTATAGAGATAAGTGACACGGGATTGGTTGCAAGAGACTCAGCAAAGATGTAGACAGAAGTAAAATGAAATAATTTCTTTGATAAAAATCCCCAAGAAATTCATTATTTAATATTCAAGTCTGTGGTTTAACGATGCCATTCAATTTGTAAACATGCAGTTAAATTGGTCACCATTGTGTAATTTAATATTTTTATTTCAAGGGTCTTCAGTCCGAAGTAGATTCCAAACTAGGGCTGTCTGTTCTTTCGTTTACAACAATAAAATATTGAGTGACAGAGCTTAAAGGTTGCCATACGAACTTTCAAGGCAAACACCCTAAAAGCCGACAAATTGAGAAACAGTTAAGAAAATCCCCAAAACGGAGTTGATAGTCATTAGATGTAGCTGAGTGAGCCAGAAAAAACTGTCGGCAAATGCCTTTAAAACTGTGGCTGCCTTTAAATTAAAACAAAAAGAAAATGTAGGAAAATTTTATTGGATTTAATTTTAATCTTTAGTGAATTTGCTATTGTTTTGGGTAAGATGGATTGATTTTTTTTCACTTAAAAAATAAATAAGTAAAAGTAAACAATAATATTTTCAAATTTGAATATGAAATTTCTTGACTTAAAAGACAATGAAGAGGCGGAGTCTCAATTAATTGGCTAGAAAGACAGCTCAGACATTTCATATTATAAACAGGACTTCGATGCGATAGAAAAATAAATAATTAATTAATAATAATAGAATGTTGTCTATTATATTTCTTATTTTGATTTCTTCTTTACATCAAGTACTTCAGAGAGCACCCTCGTAGATAATAGAAGCTATACACATAAATACTTCAACAATTCAAATTTCCACAACATTTCAGGTGTGCGTAACCCAAACTGAGGAGCAAACCTCGCTGAAGCTGACGCCGCCGCAGTCGTCGGCAACAGGCGCCGCGACTGCCAGCGCATTGCAGAAGAAGCCGAGCACTGTGAATCAGTTCATTGAGGAGAAACAGAAGATCTCGTTGTCCAAGGAGCGAAGGGCCGCCCGCACGCTGGGCATCATCATGGGCGTGTTTGTCATCTGCTGGCTTCCCTTCTTTCTCATGTATGTGATTCTGCCGTTCTGCCAGAGCTGCTGTCCCACAAACAAGTTCAAGAACTTCATCACCTGGCTGGGCTACATCAATTCCGGCCTCAATCCGGTCATCTATACGATTTTCAATCTGGACTATAGACGTGCATTCAAAAGACTACTGGGCATCAAGTGATATGACAGCTCGGGCCGAGCGCAAATGTGCGATAAGCGAGAGAGCGTCAGTCAAAGTGTGTGCCAAAAGTTGATATGATTCGCGAATGTGTGGAAACACCTGACAAACTCTTACACTCAAATATGGTTTCACTCATTTGTATAAAGATCTCGAAATTTCATTTCAAGTAATTTATATGTACTAATTAAGAAAGTTACAAATAATCAAGAAGGAAATAAAAACACGTTAAGCAATTTCTAATAGCATATAAACAATTTCTTGTTATAATAGCTAATTTTAGCTCTAAACATCTCAAACTAGTTTTTATTTTACCTACTTCAATTTATAAAATTATATTTTCGTCGGGTTCTCAGCTCGAAATTAGTTTGCTTCACTTTTGTCGGGTGTTTCGGCTTCTAGAAATAAATGTAAACTGTTAAATATACTCATGAATCGAAAGCTAAAATATAAATAAATTTTGTGTGTGCAGGCGCTATTAAAAAATTAAAATAACTAAAAAACAGCATTCAAATTAGAAAAAAACAAAAATATTATACAAATAAAATAAAAAAAAAAAAATACAAATAAAAACCAAATGAATTTAACTAAATGTTTAGGCACGAGTTTGTTGCAAAACTTTCATGTTTCACTAGTCGGCGCATAAATTAAATATATATACCATATATAAAAACATAAAAAGCTAATACATATAAACATAGTTAAATTCACGCGCGCTCAACAATGAGAAACTTCCAAAAATTGTTTACTTAAGCATTAATTTATAAAAGATTTATATTTAAATTTAGGTAAATGAATTTATAAAAACAAAACAAAAATATTAATCGTAATAACTTATACATGTATTTATAGTTTACGCTTATTTGTTAAATAAATTAATGGAGCATGAATTTATTTTCATGGCAAAGCATCAAATGTGTTGAGTGTGCAATAGCACAGCTATAAGCTTAAACTAAATTAAATTTAAATAAAAAATTAAAAACTAAAAACAATACACAAAAAAATTAAATTAAATGTTGCATTATGCAATAGAGTTACCAAATATATATATATAAATTGATGTATAAAACCATGAAAGAATGCAACTAATCCATGGCAATTTTTCAATTTTGATGGTGTACGATAATTTCACTAATTAAATTGTTTAATTAGCAAATGCAAATGGACAAAAAGACAGATTCGAATAAAAGTTATAAAGTAATAAAATACAAACTCTTCTCTCTGAATTTTTTTAAAAGCTAACAAACTGCTGAGCTTTAACATATTGATTTCATATTGGGTGGGCAAAGAAGTTTTTATGAGTTCAGCAGTCGCGTGTAATAGCCCATAATTGAATTATCGATTGCTGAGCTACTTATTCTAATTAAATGGGCTAAGTGCGTTTTATACGCTGATTATCGGAAGTTTCTGAAAGTTGGGCGGCAAAACAGAAAGAAGGTCAAGAAACAGCATTTCTTAACCCTCGGCTTAACCTTCAAAGGAACTAAATAAAAATCAATCAAGTGAAACATTCAATTACCCCTTAATGATATCTAACTTTCTTAACTGTTCATATTCAAATTCAATAAGTCCTGCATATTGAATAAACACAGTATTTACTTAGTATTTTTATTCTCCCTGTTCGTACATATGTATGTAGATAGAACCACATGTTGCACATATTACCAGCTGAGCAACCTACATTGCTATAGCCTTAACAGTACCATGTTGTTAACATTGGCGTTGCTAATGTTAATATTTGAATTTCACCTTAACTTACTGGCTGACACAAGCTGACTGCTTGCTATGCTTCAGCCTTAGTTGCCGTACCACAATTGAAAAAATAACAGCGGCATGTGTTAACAGCGCTGTTAACTAATTTAGCATTACTATTCAGTATTTTGGGACATATTTTTTGGGATTTTTGACAGTGCATTTTGAGTTTTGGTTTCTGTTTACCATATTTCGGTTAGTCATATTATATATTTAGTTAAAAATAAGTGAAAATAACTTCACTCTTTATTTATTTCGACGTATTAACTTTAAGCAAGTAATAAAAAAACGATGCAGGTAAGACAACAGCCAGCGCAACACAATTATCATTAATAATTATTAAGTTCTGACATATGTATATAAATATCTTTATGCATGTGCATTCTCTTATCTCCATATTTGGTAAAAACCAAATCAAAACGCAACGCATGAGTGCCTGCTATAAAAATTCTGAATGAAAACTAAAATAATGTATGCTTGCTGTAGGACCCAAATGAAGATACCGAATGGAATGATGTGCTGCGCGCAAAGGGAATCATTGGACCCAAACAAAAGGAGGCAGAGATAACAGAAGACCAAATCCAGGCAATGATGAATGATGTCATTCAGCGAAGGACGGATTTGCCTCCACAAGAGGGTCAGCGCGACAAGCTGATCGACGATATGTCACTGGATGAGCTGGACGAACTCGAGGACTCTGAAGACGAGGCTGTGCTGGAACAATATCGACAACGTCGCATCGCCGAGATGCGGGCATTAGCGGAGAAGCCTCGATTCGGCAGTGTGCGCGAAATCTCTGGTCAGGATTACGTCAATGAGGTGACAAAGGCTGGCGAGGGCATTTGGGTAGTGCTGCATCTGTATGCCAATGGCGTCCCGCTCTGCGCCCTCATCCACCATCATATGCAACAGCTGGCTGTTCGCTTCCCGCTGACAAAATTCCTGCGCTCCATTGCCACTACCTGCATACCCAACTTCCCCGAGAAGAACCTGCCCACCATTTTCGTATACCACGAGGGCGCCATGCGTAAACAGTTTATTGGACCCATCGAACTGCGTGGTGAGAAACTAACGCTTGACGAGCTGGAGTTTATGCTGGGCCAAGCGGGCGCTGTGCCCACTGAGATCAAGGAGGATCCCAAGCCGCAAATCCGAGATAAAATGTTAGCCGATTTGGAGGACAAGAGCTCAGAGTTCTTTTAGATCTCATTCTATGCTAAGAGAACAAAGAGCATGCCAAGTCACAAATCAGGAATACAATAAGTTCTGAGCTCTTAAAAAAAAACTTCATTCTACTTTATGTCATGTGTTCATATTAAGCCATTTCTTTTTGCGGTACAATCTAAATCCTTACCCGATCTTTGTGCATTTGTTAACATAATAAAAATTAACAATTTTTGCTACCAAAGCTTCACTTGTTTTGCGACTTCGCAATGCTCGTTGAGGATTTGGTCGTGCCCTTCGGTTTGCTGCGAAAGATATTCGGATCGAGAATATTGTAAGGATGTTCACAAGCGGGATTGATTGTGCGTCCACGTCTCTGTTCGTTTTTCTCCAGCAAATGCGGAGCTAGCAGCAGAAACAGCTGCTCCGTCCACGAGGGCAGGCCAAAGCTGGAGAAGCACAGCTCCCAGTAGGGCAAGCCCAAATGCGCAATGGCCATGCGGAGATACTCGCTGAACGTCTCGGACAGGAACTGCCAAGTCAGCGTGTTTAGCTCCAGCAAATAAAACTTTGGATTATTCGAGCTGGTTGAGTCATACAGCATGCAAACCTGCAAATTGATGAATCATTTATAAATAGTAAAACAAAACTCAACTGTTAGATCGTAGCTCACCTTGGCCACTTCATTGATATTGTTAATTTCGAATATCTTGGTCTTGGCTGTAATGATGGGCAAGGGATTATCCCATTTGTCTTTGGATATCGGGGCAGTCACTGGCGCCGAGCTGGTCGAACTTGTTGACGACGGGGAAGGGGTAACCAGTGGAGTGGTCTCGATATTCTCACGCAATAGCGTCACCTGCAGCAGGTGCGGAAAGTGTATATAGCCGACACGGCGCACATCGGTAGCTAATTGAGATATGCCTATAGATCAAGAAATTATATATGCATTGTCTCTTCACTTACGCGAGTATTGATAGCTCCAATGCAGCACAAAGCCATCGGTGGATAGGTAAAACTTTTTCATATCCTCTGGCAGGTAGACACAGTGCCTCTGCTCCCAGTTGACCACCTGGCAGGGATTCAACGGCTGCCGACGCTCCAAGCTCACATTGCAGACGCGTGGCACAGTTGCTAAAATTGGTTAATTATAGTTAAGGCTATATCAAATACTATCGAGATACTCACATAGGGTTTTGATGAGACCCAGAGTTAGGTTTTCGTAGAAAGCGTCTTCCAGTGAGATTTTCTTATGCATTTTGCCTCGCTTACATAAATAGTTCAATAGTAAACAATGCCTGCCTGGTCGGTGGTTGCGCTGGCAACGGAGTCGTGCCTGAGTGATTTCTAAGGCAGCTTATGACTAAAGCTGCACACATATGGGTTAGAGAGTTAATTCAGAATGGCTTAAACTGAATTTGTATCAATTAAATCTAAGATCGTATTACACTGTAAATTGCCGCTATATAATTTGGTCGAAATTTACAACTGAAGAGTAAACTACTTGATCATAAATTTAAATAGGAAGTAACAGATTGTGAATGTGATCTAAATTATTATATTTTAATGATATGTAAAATGCATGGCAGACTTTTTTTTAATAAACTACGATATCGGATCGGAAACAACCTGGGCAATACGAGTTTAATACTTAAATAATACATACTTATTAATTTTAATGGGGAAAATTAATAGTCATATGTAAATAAAAAAAAAATTTAAAACCCAATATTGAAGCAGTTAAATTATAAATATAATATTGTAAATTAATTTTAAAATATATTTAAATACATATATCTATATCTATATACATATGTAAATATTTAAAATCGAGTTATTGAAATTTATTTTATAATGATAGTTAAAAGAATAAAAGAATCATTTTTGCTTAAATACAAATTTATGCATTTTTTTTTTTTTAATTTTTCCGCATTTCTCTATAGGCAACAGAGATCAAGTTTAGGTTAAGTTTGGATACAAATGTAGATACATACATACTATACGTAGTCCACATAGAAATAGCTTTATTTAAGCTATTTGTCTTCTAACTTCACGCCAAGCTCAACAACTGAATCCAACTATATGTAAGCACCATTCCATACTGTTTCACTTTCTGTAACGTAATTATACCTTTCCACATATATGACGAGATATCTGATAAATTAAACGCTAAAAATTGTATAATTATTATAATTGCACTTTATTTATATATAACACATTTACAGCAATTTATATACAGTAGGAAAATAGAAACACAAACAAATATACATACATTTGTAAATTAATATGACTTTGATAATATGAAGATGGTAACGAACATATGTATATGTATGTAGTATAAAATAAAAGACTGACGGTCTGAAGAGCTAATGAGATCGCGTCGAATTTAATTGGTTTCATCTCTTGGCTTGCGCAGGAGTCTCATCGGCCTCCTCTTCATGTCAGGAAACCTCCCACACTGTGGACTCCACCGAGCGACGTGGCCGAGCCGCCACCTCGACGTGCGCGTCCAGGCCGTCGCTCATGCGACTGAAGCGGCGCGCCCAGCTGCCACGCGCTGTGGACTGGCTGCCGGCTATCGAGGTGCGCTGTGTGGTGTCACGGAACAGGCTCATGATATCCTGATTGTCGCCCTGGGCACGCTTGATGCCGTGCTGGTATTTGGCCTCTTTGGCAAGCAGCTGCTCGCGCTGCATTTGGGTCTTCACCTCGGATGGCACGTCGGGTATGATGAACTGCATGATGCCAGTTAGCACAAACACCACATGCTGTCATGGAGTATATGCAGACGTAATTTAATGTAATGCCCATTCACTGGTAATTTGATTAATGTACCTCGAATACCACAACAAAGGCCAGCCGTGCGGCAAACACGTGCCAATAGTGGGGGCTCAGTCCGTAGGGCTCGTAGTCCTTTGGCCCGTTGCTATCAAAGTATGTCAATCGTGCATAGAATGTGTCTAAGAGCCCATTAATAGCTCACTTACCGATAGCCTCTGTACTGGCAGGTATCTGGATCGCGTTCGCTGCTCGTTGCGCCCCATTCCTCCTTGTAGTCGGACGTATTGAATATGGACAGCGAGTGCTCTATGTAGCCGGCCAGCGTGTGGGACTCCGAGTAGACGAACTTGTAGACGACGCGCGGTATAAAGTCACTCGTGTAGGCGATCACAAAGGCATTCGATACGACGGCCGTGTAGGTGATTATGCGCAGAATTCCATACCAGGCGCCAATATCCTCCACACGCTCGGCCAGGGGCCGCCTGGCTTGCGTGACCATCTTGTAGGCATCCAAACGTATCTCGGCCACATTGTTGAGCAGCGCAAACAGCGGCGCCAAGGGAAACGCGGCCACAAACAGCGTGACGAAGCCATATTGTAGTACTATAGTAAAGGTATAAAAGGGTTTAGGTTTTGTGTAGTCTATAATAATTCATCACCTACTCATTTCTAGGTACTCATCAAAGAGCGCCAAGCGACCTGGATCCTGCATGTGATAGTCCTGCTCCCAAGCCATATGCAAATGCGATTCGTCTTTTGTAGCCTGTAAAAAAAGAAAAGGCTGCGTTAGTTCTTTATCTCAAAATATTCCCTAAGTTTAGTTACTTGTTTATGCTTTCGCTGACGCCACCAATTCCAAAATTTGGGAAACAAATACTCCATAAAGTTGTTCCAGCACTGTTTGCCCACCATGATAATAGCCTAAGGACAAATGAACAACAGACAAATAGGTTTAAGTAGCAGAATAATTGTTACAAAAATTTTAAAAATAAATAAAAGAAAATGAAGAGTAAAAATAATAATAAACAAAAAGACAAATATGCTACCATTTTATTATTATTTAAAAAAATGCGCACTTACAAATAAAAATTATTTAATTAAAAGACAGAATACATAATGTATTCAAAAAATGTACAAAAGGGAAAAAAATTGTTTAATATTATTATTTAACTATTTTTAAAATAATTTTTTTTTATGCTAATAATTAATATTAAATTTATATATATATATATATTTATATATTTATGTATTCTTAAAACACTTACCAATTGTATACAAAGTTCGGAGAGGCAGCCCGCCGGATCACATATATCATTCTTGAGCCGAAAGAATTCACTGCGGCGCGCCTGATCATCGCCAGGATAGTCAAAGAAGCGTCCCTTGAAGAAGGCTATGTAGATGAGCGACGAGTAGAAGTTCATAAACTCAAAAAAGAATATCTTAAAGGTATATGAGTCCTCATATTCGGTGTGAGTGCGTGGATTCTCCAGATTGGTTAATTTGATGGCCATGCGGTGGTAGATCTGTAAAATATATAGAATTAGATAGGTCTCGTAGTTCTGTGAGTCCGACCTACCCGTGTCAGTATCATGATGACCACCAAATTGATCAGCGCAGCCGTCACAGTGGTAAACAGTTTGGCATGTTCCTTCACAAAGAAGCCGCCGCCGCCATAGATGACCGAGACCAGCGATATGCGATAGATGATCGTTCCCAGCACGGCAGAGAGCACCACAGAGATCTATAATTAGTCAAATTAACAATCAGCAGAATGGGTCTTACTCCATTAAAAATTACCATAAAGAGCACTGCACTACCGGTGATGACAAAGCGTATGGCACGACTCCAGGTGGACATGTAGGGCTCCTTTTCGCGTGTCACCGGATTCATGCGGAATGTGGTTGCATTGGTCTCAAACTCCGGTCGATTCTCCTCATCCATTTCCACATTGTGGAGATCCCATTCCCAGACCAGAACCGATTGTTTGCGTTTCCACAGCTCCAGGAAGGTGGTTGCTATAGATGAAAGTATATGAGATATACATGTATGGAATATGGAGTAGATGTGTGTATGGTACCCCAAAAGGACATGAAGATGGCGAAAAACACAGTCGATGGATTGTCAAAGAGGTAAGTCAGACGCGAGAATAGGCACGATTCGGATAGTCTTTGATAGCTGCAGGCCTTATCACAGAGCGGACAGAGCGTTATATTCCCTGTGCCGGACTCGTTGCAGATCTCCTTGCTGGGCGTGTTATCCTCCGATTCGAGTGTGGCCAGTCCATAAATAAAGCACAGAGTGCCCACAACAGATGGGTAGACGAGCATCTCAGTGTAGAAGCCCAGCCAACTGAAGTAGAGAGCGATTTTGTCGCCGAAATATTTGCGCACCAGGCACAGCGGCTGCTTCTTGTACCACTGCGAGGGATGTGCCCAGGTCTGATATAGGACGCGACGATCTAGCGATATGCCACTCGAGTGCGGCCGATCGTAGCGTCCCTCGTGCAATGGAAAGCAGGCTAAGTAGGTGCCATCATTAAGCAGACGCCGGATGCCATTGCGATCGCCGTCATCGTACGGCGTGCGTATCAGCACCTGCATAACCATCAGCGAGCGCTGGGCACCCGTATACGCTGTGGCGCGATCCTTTACAATGAACCTTGCACAAGGAGAATATTTATAAGTCAAGTGAATAAATCTGATTAGTTTTTGTAGTCCTACTGCTCCTCCGGATTGCCATTGGCCGTGGCCGCTTTGAATGTTGTCTCGCCCTCAAGCAGACTATTGTCCAGCTGTATCTTTTTGGTTAAGCGCTGCCAAACATCCTTCCAGTAGTGCACATTACGCATGACCACATTCTCCTCATCCTAAAGGTGAGATCGAGCATAGGAGATATTCGCAAATGAAGCTACCAATTCCAACTCACCCAAGAAGGCTTTACGGATATGGTTATAAAGCGTTTGATGGGCAACTTCAGGTTCATGACCTCGGCCAGGCGCGTCTCCAGGCGCCAGGGGAGGTGAATTTTGAGGAAAAAGGTTTTCTCATTGAACGATTGTGATTTGTCCTCCAGCTCCACTTCGAGGCCCTCTTTCACTAGATTGTCCATAAAGGTGCGCCTAATATCACGGCGTCGTGCTTCCGCTTCCGTCATTACGCCCAGATCCTCCTCTTCCCAGGCCAACACCATGTCCACCTTGCGCCGGCCATCGCGAAACATCAGCGATTCCGGATCGAGACCCTCGCGATCCTGTTTGCTCACACGTCGCTCATCGCTGCCATCGCCCGTGAGGCTGTTGCTCTTGCTGGCCTTGCGACTGCTCAGGTAGCTGCCATTGATGCTGCTCTCCCCGGTGGATGTCTTTCGCTCCGCTGGCAGCAATTGCTTATAGCCGAATTGATCGGACAGCACGTTCGAGTGGGATGACTCTACAACTTCGTACGAATCCTTGACGCTGGCGTCGGCATGACTGGGCCTACGCCCACCCAGTGTGGGGCTGAGGTTCAGGCCCAGAGTGCGACGCATTGCCGTGCCAGGTATGTCCTCATCGTGGTTGCCCACAATGCGCGGCCCAAACGCCTGTGTGGGACTCGGCTCCGCCGACTCTGTCTCCAGATGTGTTGGCAATGGCACTGCAATGGAGTTGACCTTCTGATAGAACGAGCCATTGCTGCCGCGCATCATCGACGAGTTCAGCCACTTCTCTGTGTACGCAGCAGAGCTGGTCCTGTTGTTGGAGCCCAGCTCCAAGCTGGGCTTTGGCGTAATGGGATGGCCCACAGACATTGGACTTTGGCTAACCGCTTGCCGCTCAACTTCTAAAAAGTTGTAAATATTATCGGCAGAGCTGTTGGGCTCGATGGGTGGCGACTGCAGATCCAGTTCAATCAAAGGGCTCTCCTGCAGGAGTGGATATAGATATAACTATATAAAGTACTGGCTTGATATCCTTGTTGTACTTACAGCATAACCAACTAAACGGCCAGCCACTATGCCGCTATCCTGGCTGAGTCTTCGGGGTCGCAGCTTGATCTGGTTGCTGCGTATCATACGCTCACTTTTCGCTGGACTCGAGACAACTTGGCGCCGCGACGTGCCCAACGAACTGTGCTGCGAATTGCGTAGCGTGGGCACCGAAAGGAATCCTATAAATTAACAACAACGGAAATACAACTAAAACCATAACGAAATCATTTAATATTTTAATAGACACCCACTTGGAAATTGAAATGCTGTCTGCTCAATAGCAGCTATCTCGCTCTCGCTTTCGCGCGTCGCACTGTCAATCAGATCCTCACGTGAATTGGCCTCGGTTATGGGTGCAGTGCTCTCATCGTCCACACTGTCGATACGTATTTGAAATATATTCGATTTGCGGCCCGCATTGCCCGTCAGCTTTGCATGATTGCTCATGTTTTCCAAAACTTCAACGTCACAACAGCCTAGAAAATCGTAGCAATGCAGTTAAGGCTTGGGTCAAGAAGTATCGTTTCCACAGATTATTTTTGTTTTTTAGGACGAGTTTTCAGTTAATGTGACCTACAATGACAGCGCATGAGGCTTTGCTGTGCATGTGTCTCGATTCCCATCATTAAATATGCATTCATATTTATAAGTTCGATGAAAATCGAAAGGCAACTCGTAACACTCAAACGCAAAGAGGCCATCAATACCTTTCTGTTTAACAATATACAAATAAGAAAAGGAGCTATGACACCTTACAAATGTTTGTTGTCACCCAATCGAATTGTGAGTGAAATCTGAAATTTGAGATGAGCAAAAGGTTAAAATCTAAATTTTAGCTGGCTTTCTATATCGACCAAACTCTCTTACTGAAATCAATAAAATTTGACAGCTAGTTTTAGAGATAATTTTAAACGATATTAAAAAAGATATACCCTTCTTTTAGAGCGTATACTTTATTTTATTAATAAAAATAAAATAAATAAAATTAAAAAAAAAAAATCAAAAATAAAAATTGAATTTACAAAAAATTCCAGTTAATATTATTTTAAGTAAAATATTAATATATTTAATTTTTGTTGTTTTTAATTTATTTTTTTTTTTTTTTTAATTTTTTGTATTAAAATAGAATAGGAAAATATAAATAAAATTTAAAAAAAAATCAAAATTAAAATTTTTTTTAGTTATATATTTTTATTTATATATTTTTATATCCAATTTTTTTTTAATTTTATTTATTTTTATTTTTGAATTTATAATACTTATTTTATTTATTTAGTGAGTCAGAAAATATTATTCTTTAAAAAAAATTACTATTAATTATTAAATTAAATAATCAACACCTAATGTTGTCATATTATTTTGGTTTCATTTAAGCGATTTAGTCAGTATTTATATAGAAGCACACACATATATACATACACACATATCATGTGTACATCGTGCTCCCCAAGGACCACTTAATTCTGCCATTAAAATTCCCTGAAAAAGTAAACAGGCAAGCAAATTAAATGTCCAATTAATCTATATTAATATAATTAAAAGGGATAGAAATGAACGAAGATAGTTTTAAATGTCAAGGGTTTAAAATTAGAAACAAAATGTCATATTAAAAAACTTAAAAATAAAAGGAAAATCATTATAAATTCATAATGGAAGTCTTCAAGCTCGAGCAAGAGTCCCATTAAATTAATCTTTTCGATACGATTGCTTGTTTATAAATTGAACAAGATACATTGACAAGGAATATATATTCGAAAAAACAAAATCAGGATGTCGTTATGCATATAAAATATATATACGTAAGCGACATGAAATGGCTTTAACTCACGTCACGAGTGAATGCCCAACTTCAGTTCGTAGTACTCGAGGCCAAAGTCATAATAGCACACACACACACATGCAAACAGACAAACATTTGTGGGGCACATCAGTATATATAGTACAAGTATATGTATATATGATAGATAATGCACATTAGAGAGAGGACCACTTCGGGTCGATAAATGTTGAATAAATAAACTTGTTGCTGAACTAAATTGGCGGCTAGTTGTTGATTCTCACTAGGCGAATGTCAAATATGTGTAATTAATTTATTTTCAATTAACTGAAATATGTGCACAAAGGAGTCTGAATTTAAAGGCCTCCGCTTCCATTTCGATTGACACGATTCGAACAAGTCCTTTTCTAGTTTGTCCCCCCAAAAAAAGTGGCACATACTATATAAATAGAGATACATATCGTAGGGCGCCTAGTATGACTTGCCAGATGCGTCAATATTAGTTGTAAGTAGTTGGCTTGTCAGTTGTGCAAAGTCTCATGCCGTCCGTTGTAGTAATCACAGCAATTGAAGGTTTATTGATTCGACATTCTCGTTCTTCAAGCTCTATATTAATAATCGATTATTGATTTCAAGTTGCAAGTATTCAAATGTCACTCAACTGAAACTAATCAAAAATTTCACTGCTGGCAATGTACTTGAAAACTTTTTTATATTTATTTATTTTTTGATTTATTATTCCATACTTTAAACGCTTGTTGTCTGTGTTAATGTTGATTTTTTTGTTATTGACTTAAAATGTTTGTTTTCCTTCTTTATTTATGTGTTTTATTTTATTTTTTAATATCTGTTTTTAATCATCTTTTTTTCTGTATTTGCTCGCGTGTCCTATATTAGTTATTAACACATTTCGTTCTGCATAATGGACACGGCGAGCGATTTCGACCGATTTGTTAAAGCACTCGCGCACGAATGACCAAAGAACTGACACAAACCACTGACCACAGGCTAAGGACTATAAGTAAGCTGGCAACTGTCGCCTGTCCCAACCACCGGAGCGAGTATCTACTACTACTACTACTACTACAGCCATTGCTAGATAATCAAAGTAGTTTAGTTTTTTCATGTGTTGCTCTCTCACCCACGCCGAATCGAGCTCGCCACGTTTCTGGGGCTTAATGGTTAATTGACATAGTTGTCCATGAAGTACTGGCTACAATTTGACATTTCGACTATTCTAATTTTTGTTGTTGGTTTTCTTTTCTTCTTCTTTTTATTCATATATAGTAGTTATATGAATTAATAAAAAATTATGCTCTATTTGATAGGGCAGCCAAATACCATAGGGAATTTTGAACCCATGAACCGGCAATCGAATCTATTGTAGCCCCACACCCCATTGGGGGTCCTTCTCGAGGGGTTCACAGAGTTAAACAACGACCTCACTATTAATTGCCGTTACATACTAGTAACGTAAAAACTATAAAAATAGAAATAGAATGGATTATTATACGGTCGCCCATCTATTTCGAGCCGACTGTATATACTTACGTCAAACAATTGGCCAAGTGCGTCGTTTACCACTTTCAAGACAAGGCGATGCGTGATATGTGATATTTGTTATTAGCAGCCCGCAGTTGTTGTTGTCTCTTGAAAATCGTGACGAACGTTGTTATTATTTAAATTCACTACACACAAGTAAAATAGATTGCAAGGCTCTGATAGAGGGAATTACTCTTCCGACACTTGACCGACTTCCTGATTGATTGCCTGACTAATTGATGCCAAATGCACCTTCCTGGTGGGGAAGGCACACTGCGGTATTATCCTATATGCATTAGAATTTTATTAGAAATACTTTAATCGGAAGTCCAAATGCAGTTAAGAATTTATGTTAATATAATTAATTTGGAAAGGAATTCGTTTCGGAATGAATATATATTCTTTTGATTTTATACTAAAGGCATGCGATTATCATTAATTAGAATTCTATAAAGTGTTTCTTATTAATAATTGTATAAATATTGGTATATAGATTCAAACGCAAATCATGTTTTATACCTACTGCGCTACACTTAATGAATGTCGCCCTTCTATGCACTTCTCATAAATGTATTTGCTGACAATTATAGATTTTTATTTTAAATTATTTTATATAGTATATATGTTATTCAATTATATTAAGTTGTGTCATAAAAAAAAGCTTGAAAGCCAGAGTGGAGAAGGGGAGAACAGAAATCTAGTAAGGAGATGAGTGTATAGAATAGAATAGAAACAACAAATTTGCAAAAAGAATGAAATGGTATAGCTAATTTTTTTCTTACTTCCCACTCACTTGGTTTCTCTCTCTACTTCTCTCTCTCTCTCTCTCTCTCTCTCTCTCTCTCTCTCTCTCTCTCTCTCTCTCTTTCCCGCTTGTTCAGCCAGTTTCTTTTGAATAATTCACCCGTTGATAACTTTATTTAACCCAACACCATAAATATATAAATAGTTTTGTAAAAATATGAATTTCTTGAGATAGAAACTCTTAAGATGTCTTCCCAGCTCACTCGTCGCCCTTAGCCAATTCGTTGGAATTGTTGCTACACTGCTGCAGCACGTCCGTTTCACACGAGTTTGTAGTCTTGCTGAAGAACTGCCCCGCCTCGCACTCAGCCTCGATCTTCTGGCCGTGCAGACACACAAAATATCCGCGACAATTGTTGGCATCCCGAGCCAGTTGGCCGTGTTTGCCACTGCAGACGCCCACACGTTCGCCATTCTCCATGAGGCAGGTGCCGTCGTTCTGCCGGCAAATGCCCAGCAGGCTGTCGAAGCTCTCGCCATTGCGGCAGCGCTGCGAGATGGGCTCGTCCTCATCGCAGCTGATGTAACGCCGGCAATCGCCCGGCTCGGCGATGGAGACGCCCTCGTCGATCAGCTCGCACAGATTGGCAATGTCAGCAGGTGCATCGCTGCAATTCTTGGGCGACTGTGTGGCAAGTGGGTCCAGTGAATCCGTTTCCATAACATCTGATTTCAGCTCCTGCACCTCCTGCAGCTCCTCGTCCGTGGCCAGCTCGTACGGCTGACACTGCTTCAGGGTTGCATTGAAGAAGTAGCCCGCATAGCAACGCTCTCCGCGCAGCTTGTTTGAGATGCAGATGTAGAAATTGTTGCAATTGGCCAGGTCTGGCAACAGCTGGCCATTTTTGCCCTCGCACTGCACTGGGCTGGGCTTGGGCTTCTGGTCGCTGATAATTGTTGAATTGGTTAAATTTTGAGCGGCCTCATTGATGACATACGGACAAAAGCCATCGTCTTGGGTGCAGAGCAGCTGCTCGGCATTGAAGTAGCTGTCGCTGCCGCAGCGCTGCATAAGTGCCACGCCCCCAGCACAAATGTAGTACCTAGTGCAGTCCTTGGAGTCGGCCACATAGCTGCCATCCGGCAGATGCTCGCAGCTAAAGAGAGCGCTGCTGTTGCCGCCGTCTCCACCTCCGTCCCCTTTGCCCAGTTGTCCACGCTGGCACTCGGAGCTCTGCTGTGCCGCCGGCTCGCAGCGCGCCAGGCTGGCATTGTAGACCTGCTTGGCTTCACACTCCGCCGGAATGGCCAGTCCGTGCACGCAGGCGTAATACTGATTGCAGTACAGCTGATGGGGCAGTCGCGTGCCATGGGCCACTTTCTTGCAGAGGCCCTGCGAGTCGGACAACGATTTCTGCCGGCACTGACCCTGATCCAGTTGGCACTGCGCCAGCATTTTGTTAAAGTACTGGCCCTTCGGGCAGTACTGCAACTCTGTGGCATTCTGGCTGTAGCTGCTGTTCGCACTAGAGCCAAAGCTGCTGCAGTTGTAATATGCCTGACAATTTGTCGCGTGCGCTATTAATGTGCCCACTGTGCTATTGGAGCACACCGAGTCAGTGGGCCGGCAGCTGCCATCGTTGGGTCGACAATAGCCCAGCAGCGCATCGAAGAAGCTGCCCGAGCCGCAGCTCTGAGGCAGCGCCGGCTGCTCCTGCAGGCATAGGTAAAACCGTGTGCAGTCCGTCGCATCCGCAACGCTCAGTCCGTCGGGCTGGCCAAGGCAACTGCTGCTGCTGGGCTGAGCCTTCAGCTCAGCTGCAGCTGCGACTGCACTTTGACACTTCGCCAGGGACTGGCACCTGTTCAGCTGGCGCGAAAAGCTGTTGTCGCGCAAGCAGCTGCTCAGGTGCCACTCGTCCGCGTTACAGTAGTAAAAGAACTGAGTGCAGTTCGCATCGGGCAGAGACACAGCTCGCAGCTCGCCCTGCTGACACGTGCGTCGCAAGCCGCTGCCCTGGCAGCTGCCATTAGATCGCATGCAGCCCAGCTGCGGCTCGAACTCCTCCGACTTGGCGCAGGTCTTTGTCAGCCAGCGACCATTGACGCACTGCTCATAGGAGCGGCAACTGGTGGCCAAGGCGCGCTGCTGCCCATCCACACAGGCCGTGTCCAAGCGACACTGCTCGCCATCGTTGGGCAGACAGTAGTTGATCTCTTGGCTAAAGTACATGCCGAGCGGGCACTGCTGTATCCACCAGACGTTCTCCATGCACATCAGAAACTTGTCGCAGGCCATTCCGTACGGACGCACGGTCAAGTGCTGGCAGCCCTTCGATCCCTGGCCCTCGCTGCGATTCAGCCAGCTGCAGAAGTCATCGCCCTCGATCTCCGGCATGGGCAGACAGGTGCGCAACTGCGCTGCATAGTAGTGCCGCCTGGGACAGCTACGCAGCCGCCACTTGCCCGCCGCACACCGGAAGAATTGCAGGCAGCTGCCCTTGCCAGCTCTGCTCGGAATCGTCTCCGACTCGCTGCTCGCATCGCAAGGCGGCAAGCCCAGCACTCGCGCATAGCTGCAGACCATGTCATCTCGTGGCTCCAGGCAGCGCTGCTGCTCCGGATTGTAGTAGCGCTCCTCGGAGCAGCTGCGCCTGCGCCAGTTGCCATCCAAGCAGATCTCATATTGGGAGCAATTCGCTGGCACTGAACGCTTCGAATTGGCTTCGCAGATGAACTGGAAGGAATGGGGGAAAAAATACATCTATATATGAAAATTATTTTTACATAAGAGAAAAAAAAAAGATGAAATTCGAAAGAACTTTTTAAAAGTCGATATAAATCAGATTAACTAATAACTAATTATAAGTTCAGTTAATATATTCCATTGGTGTAATTTCGAAAATCTAACAATAATAAAACTGGAATGATCTTAGAACCAAACGGATTATATATTAAAAATAGCAAGTCTAGTGGCAAAAGTATCCCCATATACCTATCTCTATAAGCCACCACACCAATACATCGCTCAGATTCGCCCAGTTAGATGGACATTGCTCAAAACGTATATACTCTTTTCAACCAGTGAACAAGTATATAAATTAAAACCGAAATACAAATTTAGTTTGTATAAAAAAACATACGGACAAGTAAATTTGTATATGTATATATATATTTGGATAGGTATAATTTTGGATCAAGCGGAATTTCTCATAATATATATAGTAACTCATAAATAACAGAGGTAATTAAGTATATATAGGTATGTAATTTAAGACATCGTCTAAGCTCTATAAGTCATTCAAGTCATTGGCGAGGGGTCACGTTCGGTTATGCTTATGTAAACTTCTGGAAGAGTTTCTTAAGGAATGATAGGGATCTTACTTTTTCCTCAGGCTCCACGGATCTCTTCCGTATGTCATGCTCATCGGCCATGCACATGCCCAAGTCGCTGTCAAACAGCTTGTTATCGGGACAGGCGTGATATGTCACAATGTCGGGACTTCCGTCGCACGAGCAGAAACCTTGGGGCATACCCTTAGCCGCGAACGCCTCGAACAGTGTCCGTCTGGCGCAGTCCCGTGGATCGCAAGCTGCCACCGCGGAGGTCCTTTCGTGCACACAGACGCCGAGGGTCTCATCGAATACATGGCCATCCGTGCAATGATAATAGGTGGGCACCGTATCACAGGCGCAGAAGCCTCTGGTTGTGTTTCGTGCAGCGAACGCATCGTACTTAACGCGCGTTCTGCACATGGTCGGATCACAGGCATCCACAACACAGATGTTGAGAATCTTATCATAAACGTGATATTGTCCACAGCTCTGATAGGTGGCAACGCCAGACGCCTCGCACACGCAGAAGCCATTGATTGTGTCCTTGGCTGCAAAGCTCGTTAGAGCCGTGCGGCTGTTGCACACCGTCGAATCGCAAGCCAGATCCAGATTGGCACCAGTGGATGTATCCAGGCATAGGCCTAGCTTGGCGTCGTATTTCTTGCCCGCGGGGCAATCCTGATAGACGGCGATACCCTCCAGACATAGACAAAAGCCGACTGTCGTGTTCAAGGCCTCAAAATTGGAGTAATCCGCCAATTTAGCACATCCCGTGGGATTACAAACGCAGCTGGGTGCCTATGAAAAGTCAAGGAAGATGTATAAGTGCCCATTTAGATCATTTGTTACTGCAGTAACTCACCTCCCGTAAGAGACAGAGGTCGACGGTGGCATCATAATATTTGCCTAGCGGACAGTTCACGTAGTATGCCTCGCCGCCTTGACAAAGACAGAAGCTCGAGTCATCCTCTTCATTCGATGAGGGAAATGTGGCATCCTCAGGCAGGGAGGCACACTTGCTGCTGCAGCAGTATGGACTGGTAATACCCTATACCGAATAGACGACGTTTGGTGTTCAAAACTTATAGATCTCAATGGAATTTCAATGGCCTACCGTTACTTCCAGACAGGCGCCGACATCCACATCAAACAGCTTTCCATCGGGACACGATCTATAATAGGGGAAGCCATTCTGACAATAGCAGAAGCCCTCAGTTCCATTGAGTGCCAAATACGGCTCGTTTTCTGCGAGAGTATCACATTGCGTCGCATCACAAACAGCAGGACCCTATACATTTCAATATACATAATAATACAATATACCATATCACGTTTCTACAAGCTATGAAGCTCAATCAAATATTTACCGCTGTCTCTAGGCAAATCAGTAAATCTGCATCGAATTCCTTGCCGTCAGGGCACTGCGAGTAAACTCCACAGGATTCCTTGCAATAGCAGAAACCAGCTACGGAATTGCAAACTGGATAAACAGTGTATTCAACCTCTGTCGCGCATATTGTTGAGTCACACTCATTCACGGGACACACGATATTTGGCTGACATAATATAAATATATTGAATACAAATATTTAACCCAAGTATATTATTATTGCCTACTTACAGTTGGGAACAAGCAAATGCCTAAAGATGCGTCGTAGACTTTACCGAATGGGCAGGAATGGAACGAGGCCAGCTCATCCATACACAAACAGAAGCCAGTGTCCGAGGCTTTCGATGCGAATGTATCTCCATTTGGCTTACCGCTGCAGTAGCCTGTGCAGCATCTTGGCTATAATTGTTAAAGTACTCAATCTTAGCTTACATGCATTATTTTTATAAAAAGTTCTCAACCTACATCGGCCAGCGGCGCCAGAACACACTTGAGTTGAGCGTCATTGAAAGTGTAGCCGACGGGGCAAGGCACTGATACGGGTTGATTGGCACGGCATAGGCAGAAGCTGTTAGGATCGTCATAGTTGACGGAGACAGTGTACTCCGGGGTGTCAACGCACGCTTGGGGATCGCAAGGTCCCGTCTAGAATGTGTTCGTATTATATGTAAAATAAAAGTGATCTAGTTGTTTCCATTTCAGTACTCACAAAAATGCATGCGCCCGCCGTGGCGTTGAATGTCGTGCCCGCATTGCAGTTCTTCAAGAAGGCACCGTCGGTCTCGCACAGGCAGAAGGTGCTGTCATCTCCCGTCAGCGGTGGATAGACCTGGTTCACGCTGGTCGTCTTGCACTGGGTTTGATCACAGGAGGTCTGCAAGATATACGAATTATTATAATCTATGCGCAGGAACCAGAATTTCGATATGAATCCACTTACACTTGGCTGAGGCAGACAAATCGACAGAGTGGGATCAAAGACCGAGTCCGGTGGACAGGAACGAATAAGTGCAAAATTGTCGACACAAACATAGAATCTGGTAGTGTCACTGGGATCTGGGAAGGTAGCTCCATCAGCAGCTGTAGCGCACTGATTTGCATTACAAGTCACAGTGGCGGAACAAGTTGCTGTCTTTGTGTTGAAAGCTTCGCCCTTGGGACAGTCCATAACCTGAGGCACTCCAGCGGTGCACTCGAAGTACTTGGAGCAGATGGGATGGGCTACATTGCCATCTTTGGAGCCGCAAGGATTAATGCATTGTCCAGTGACGTCAATGATGCAGCTGCTACCGTCAAAGCGCTCGCCGCTGTCACAGGTACCAGGCACCGCCAATCCATCGTTGCAGGTAACGTAGGACGAGCAACAGGAGCCGGGCATCACGAAGCCATTAGGCTTATTGTTGCAAACCCAGCACGTGGCATCGGTGTCGGGCACACAGGCACCCACGCTGTTGCTGAATATGTTGCCGCGACCACAGGTGCCCTCCACCAGCTCACCGTTCTGGCAAAGCACATACTTATCGCATTCGGTTGTCGAGGCCTGCATGGTGCCTTCGGCCAAGCCATTGCATGAGGCAGATCGTTTGCTGCGCGAGTTCGGCTGCAGCCATTTGTTTTCGGGGCATTGATTATTGTCATCCCGGCGACAGATGCCCACGGAGGCATCAAAGTAGTAGCCACCAGTACAGGACTCCTTAGTCCATTTGCCATTGATGCAAGCAAAGTAGTTCCAACAGTTGTCAGCACCACGGGCTGCGGAAAATTCCTTGCACTCTCCACCCGCAGCTATAGGGATACATATGTTCAAGCTGTCGTCATAGTAGTTATATTGCCCACAATCAGCGGACACCAATTCACCATCCACGCATTTGAAGTAGAGGCGGCGATTCTCAGGATTACTAACCGTCTGTCCATTTTTTATGCCATTAATGCAATCCTTGCCTGATATGGGACCTTCGGTAGAGCATGGTGGACAAACGTTTTCGGAATCAATAACACAAGCCTCAAGAAGTTCATTGAAATAGGATCCACTAGGGCATGTTTTCGATATCCAAATGCCATTCTCGCAATAGTTATACTTATTGCAGT